GCCAGGGCAACAGTCCCGGATTCCTCCACGGGCTCCACATGCACCTGCTCCCTGTAAACCAGGGGCTTCTCTCAATTCCTCCAGGGAGACCTGGTGTGGGTCCTCTCCCAAGGAACCCCTTCCTCTGCTTGGGGGCTCTGTTCTGCAGTAGAAGGGGTGGTGGTTGCACAGCACCGTGAATGCACGCAATTGTCCCTGAATTGTACAAGTTTCAGTAACTGAAAAGTTCAATTTTATTAAAAACCAAGTTCCTAATATCAATACAAACAACAATGGGCAACAGGAAAGGATGGTGGAGGCCACCAGCGTGGGGACCGGGGCGGGCGTGGGGTCAGTGCAGCTCTGCCTGGCTGGGCTCCGGATCCTCCAGCCGGGTCAGGAGGAGGTGGACGCGGAGCGCCAGGGCCGAGCGGGGCACGTTCAGCAGCACGTAGGCCATCACCTGGTTTAGGCAGCTGAGGTCCGAGGGCTGGCAGAGATCCTCCGGGTAGAGGTCCAGCCAGCAGCCCAGGAAGGAGCAGACGGCGCTGGGGTGGGGCGGGCAGAGTCAGAGGCCACCCCGGCCCACGTGCCGCTGGACCCGAAGGGCTGAGGGCGAGGCCCAGGTGTGAGCCGGCCGCTCCCCAAACCTCCTGTCCACGGCCCCCAATACAGGACGGGGGTGGGCAAGCCTGGCTGGGACGGGACTGTGGGGATGGATTGTCACAGGGGCCGGCTCTGAACCCCCAGCCTCCCCTCTGCTCCCCAGGGTGCCCGGGACCCGCCCCAGCTCTCTCCTCCTTTCCTCCTGGGGGGATGCCCCGGACCTCCGTCCTCTAGCGGGAACCCCCAGGTGTGCGGGGCCGGGGTTCTGCCCAGCCCTCCCCAGCCACAGCCCCCAAATGTCCCCACTGTGGAGACAGGATCCCTTCCTCTTGTCCCTAAGCCCACTCACTTCTTCAGCTGGTCATCCTCCTCATGGTCAGGGCAGAAGAATCCGTACCTAGAGGAGGTCAGGAGGGCGTCACGTCTAACGTCCTGGGTCCACTGCCTGCCAGGAGCGCTAGTGGGACTGGGTGACACCTCGACTAGAAGGGAAGCCCCGGAGGGCAGTGACTGTCTGCTCCCTTCACTGAATTACACTAAGTGCCTGGAAGTGCCTGCATACAGTAGGCGCTTCGTGTATGTTTGCTGAATGAATGGGCCGTAACCAGCTCATTCCCAGGTCTCTGAGTGGGCCTGGGGCCCCTCGGCCAGCCCCAGTGGTCCCTGCTCGGGCTACACCCAGGACAGACAGGGACCCCCAGGTGGAACCTGGAACCTCCTCTACAAATGGGATACCGCTTTGCCCGAGGCCACGTGTGAGTGACGCTGGAGGCAGAGAGCTTCTCCACGGGGACGGAAAATCAGGAGCAAGAAGCAGCAGCACCCGGGGCAGCACGTCCCGCAGGGCCGGGCGTGGGGGCTCTTTCCACGGCTCACCTCACTGTCCTTACACCGGCCCTAGGAGGGGGTCCTCTGAGCACCCCTGTCCTCACATGAGCAAACCGAGACTCACAGAGGAGAAGTGGCATTCCCTGGACCACAGCAGTGGGTGGCCGAGTCCCCACTGTGCTGCGGGGGGACGCTCACCTCTTGAACAGCAGGTCCAGCACCTGCCGGGTGGTGGCGAACCTCCTGTAGGTGCAGAGGAAGGTGGGGACAAAGAAGGGGTCCCCGCTCTGCAGGGCAGGCACCAGCTGATTCACCAGCTTCTCCAGGGTGCCTGCCGTGATGGTCCCCACCCTGCAGGTGTCATCCAGGGCCTGGGCTGACTCATGTTCACTCTGGGTGGGACAAGGAAGAGCAGCTCACACATACTCAGTAGTAAAACGCAGAGTCCCTGTCACCAGAATGGAAGTGAGGACAGGG